ATTTTCACAATAGACATTTATATACCGTTCGACAGCCCTTTGAAAGAGCTACATTTTGCCCTATTTCTATCTGAAAAAGGAAAAACTTCGATTTTCTGCCTAATGTCTGGCTGTATGCCCACTGTGTTCCGGTAGTTTCGGGTAGATTAGCCCGTAATTTTTCGAGATTTAATCTCTGAATAGGCGTTTTTATTAGGCATATTATTAATAAGGAAATCTGAAAGGATAAACTTCGTCTTTTTTCAACTTTGACTTTTCCTTAAAAAGTTATAACCAAAATAAAGTGTCATTCTCCTTTCATCTCTTTTCACAGCTAATCCAAATCATTTTAATGGTGAAATACATCCATTTAAGCGTCCATGCCCATTAATACCATTTTCATGCAAACAATTTATAAAATATTTTCAAGAAAAAATACCGAAAAAACCGTACACTCTGTTGAAAAATAAAAATGTGATGCTGGAAAATTTGGTGATCAAAAGTATCTTTCTTTGGTGATCATTTGTATCTAAAGGCGTTTGGTGATCAAAAGTACATTTACTCATAAATATTACTCAAAATTATCAAAATATATCAGAACCATTTCAGGTCTATGTTACAAATACTCAAAATGAAAATTGGTCAGATGCAAGAAATGTCGATAAAAAAATTTAGATTGGATTCGTTCATTACAACCTGTTTATCGTTGTAATCCAAAAATATATGAATCAGTTTTAATTCATGGTCATGTTATGGGGCGATCCTTTGTGAGAAAATTGAAAAACCCAGAATTCGCTGCATATACAACCAATCGTCATGCTCGTATTCGACAAATATTAAATTATAAAGGTGAAGCAATGAATAGACAAGTTCAAGAATTGATTAAACCATTGGTTGAATTAGAATTTATTAAAGCAAAATTTATTAAAGATGATGGCCAAGAACAAGTAAAATCATATTTAATATCGTCAAAGACAAATGTGTTTAAATCATTTTTGTCAGATGATGATATTCATGCAATTAAACGAAAGACACAAGAAATTGCTCAGGATTCAATACAACTATGTCAGAATCAAACGGTTATTGGACACCATGTAGATGCTGCTGTAGGTATAAATGAATATGCAGTCAATATTTTGTGCCCACATACTGGATGATGTTATGGTGGCGTTGTTATTATTTTTCAACCTGAAATAATGTTGCATCCGGATACAAATTTTACAATACTAGCAGCAACATTTTTTCCAAGAGGTCATGCTTATATATTTCTTTCGTGGTTGAAAGATCCTGGTACAGAGGGCGGACGTGTAAATCACTTTCATTCATCCAAGCTGCATTCCACATTAGATGGCTATGAATATGTTACTGCTCTGGAATTAATGGGCATAGCTGGTAGAGAAAAGAAAACAATGAAAGTTAGCTTGAACGATATCATTCATTATTTTAAATCAATAGATTCCTATCAAACTATAGAAGTACATTTACCACAATTAATACCATTATCATATACTGAATAAAAATAAATTAGTAGTAACGGATAACGAAGTTGATATGACTATAGAGCTGCTAGACCAGCAAGGAAGACCACCCAATGCGTCAAGAATAAAATATCAAAATTATGTGGTTAACGAATTGCTAGAAAAAATTGATCAACGTTCGAAAATTCTAACAAGTAACAATACTACAAGCCAAGGTATTTATATCACACTACTATCGTCACAGCTCATAATAATGCCACATACAATATCCCAATCGTATCAACATGCACTGGAAATATCAAATAATCGACAACTATCAATGATACCGTTTATATATATTTCAAAATCAAAGATGGTGATATGTTGATCTTGACAAATGAACGAATTGAAAAAGAAGGAGAATCAAATTTAAAATACTTAACATATTATGTATCACCAATACCATCAACAACAACTGTACCAGATGACTATCATGAAACCAATTCATATATAAATAATTTAACATCTGGTGTGCGTGATGTTGTTCTAAAAGAAAGAAATTTAAAACCTTTTCAAATCATTTCCATAGAGGTTGTAATACAGATGATTATATACAATATTGTTTAAGAATTCGACGTCAAACAGGTCAAGTTTCGCTTATTCACGCTGGTGTCAACGATATTTATAATCCTTCACCATTAGAATGTAGCTTTACTAAAGATAAATTAAATTCGACGAAATTAGAATAAATACAGTTTCAATCTATATAACATAAAATATCAATACAAAAACTTTAACAACACTTTAATTAAATTTGAACCAATTCAAGAATTACATCCAACAATTGATATATGATTGTGGCTGTGGGAAAATAATCAGTGAAATAATTACGTAGATAAGCTGTTTTATTTTTAAAAAATACAAATATGACTAGGTATGCTGCCGATCACTTATCAGGAACTTTATTAACTTCCTACGCAACCAAATACAGTGCCCCCGCCTCAAGAACCAACATATGATATAGAAAATTTGAATAATTTCCCATTTTTTTCACATACTGTTCATAAAATTCAGGAAAAAAACACTTTACTAATAGAGTAAATTTTTTATTTTTACTAAATCAAATTTATTTTTATTATCAAAGTAACTAAACAACTAATTTCAACAACTAAAGCAGATTTGAATCAGTGACAAATCCAATATTATTTTCAGATAACAAAAATTCTTCAAAAGAGTTGATGATAATTTTTGAGTACTATCCATATCACGGGTGTATACAAGAGTATTCAAATCACTAACTAGAATCGTAGCTGGTATCGTACCATACTCTAACACGGATCGTTTCCTATCTGTATCCGATCAATATTTCTGTCGATTCTTGACACGAAAACGGCACTCAACGTCTAGCCCTCGTCATACATTTTTTATCGTACTCCAAAGAACGAAAATCAGACGTCAATAAGTATTTCCCATATTTTGTGAAAGAAAGAAGAAAATATAATTTCATTGATATAATTAACGTAATTAATATAAATAAAAATGCACATATAATTTCTTTGTCATTGAAGTTGAAGATCAAAGAAAAATTCTTCATTTCGTTCCTATGTAAAAACTTGTACAGTGTATAATTCATTGGAGCGCATACTAGTGGAGTAGCTATTTATTCACCAAAGTATACTATACAATAACATTGTCTCACAGTTTTATACATAGTTTTGTAGCTGATGAAATTCTCTATCGAATGCTATATAACATATAACTATGTATTTAACCTAAAACAAAAAATGTACTAAAAACAACATTGGCTATAAAAGAAACGTTTTCCCCTGCAACATGTGCGAAACTTCGTTTTTTTCGTTTGAAAAATCTATTCAAAATGAAAATTCTGCTCCGCTCACTATGCGCAGAATTCGACGGCGCATCTTTTGGTTACAACAGATTTTTATTTTATTGTGCTGTACTTTTGAGATTCCAGTCAAGGTTTCCAAAAAATACTTTTAGATAGTGAAAAACGTACCTTACAGGCAAACCAATATTTCTCGGAGAATACTCGTTCTATAATCGAAATTTTTTTATGGTAGATACAACTTTTGTCACTCTATCTAACCATATCAGAATTAGGTTTAAAACTTGTATCTGAAAATTTTCCGAAATTTTATAGCGACAAGGGGTGCATAAAGGCATATAACTTGTGAGAGGCCTAACTCTGTCAAAACACGTCCATCCGCTGAGAAA